GATTCCCAGAAAAGACAGGCTCTGATACCAAGTTGTTATGAGATCTAAAGAGAAACGAGATTGTATTACGATGAATGAGAGTAAACAAGACTAGAGAGTATTTCACTTAGGGATCTCTCTCTTCCCTTTACAAATCTGATCAAATCTATTGATAACTCTCATAACAACTCTCTCTCTCTCTCCTATAAATATAAAAGACGACAAACAAAGCTACACATCACGTGAGCCGTTACGAACGTTAGCCGTTAACTCCAGCACACCAACGTCGTTTATTCCTTATTCTCCATAAAGCATCAAATTAGGGATCAGCCGGTGACACATCATCACCTTTCCAAGTTGATTCCTTCTGATCCTTCCTCTTCTTTCTCTTCTCGTACGTGTAAAGCAAGGGAGGACGCCAAGCCTCATTGCTAACTGAGCCATTACAGGCGTTGTTGGAATCAGAGACATTCTGGTAACTATGGTCGGTCTCAAGAACAGAGGCTGGCGATAAAGTCATCGGACTGGCTTCAAATAGTGTCTTCAGCTCTTCAAAGGCACTAACAAAACAGGGAATTACTTCTCTTGAATAGAATAACATATACGCATTCTTTGATAGAACACATTCTTCGCTGATTCTCGAGACCTGCCAAAAGGAAAAGTTGCATTTCATTGACACTCCCCTCACAGAAATCTCCAAAGAACTAAAACCAAACAAGATCAAAAGATCAGATCTTGTATTATTTACCTTTGCGTCATCAAAATGATGCCATGTCTCAGGAGCTGATCTCACATATGTTGTGTAATGACCAGAATGTGGACTAAACCCAAGATGCTCCACCATGGCATAGAGATGGTACTTTGTTGAAGCCTAAATAAACAAAACAACAACGTAATTGTATTTTGTTAAATTAATTAAGACATGGAAAAAGATGTGTAAAATTTTCACTTACTTCATGCTTTTCGTTACTGCTCATGTAAGGGAGCAAATCCAACTCCAAAGGGAACTTAACATCATTGAGGATCTTCTCAATATAAAATCCATCCTTCTTAAACCTCTTCAAATGGAACGCAGCAACAAGAGGCAACTTATCGAACTTAAGTTGCTTCTCCTTTGAGACTTTCTCTTTACAGTCATCACACGTTAACTGGTCCTCGAGTTTTTCCACACATGTAAAAGACTCTAGAGCACTCCGAAGATCTTCCACATCTTCAATCTCCAGACTCCATCCAGTAGACTTTTCAAATGTTTCTGAAATGGAATTGCAGTTGCAACAACGAAGCTGAAAAGAAAAAAAAAATTAATAATATAAGAGTCATGTATATAGTAGATAATTAAGTATGGTAATGAATCAAAAAATTCAAAATTCGTTACCTTACTAACAAGACCCCCACCAAAGATATTCTGAACAATGTTAACATTATGAGAGGCAGAGTTATTTCTACCACTTAGATCCAAACAACATTTCTGTAGCTTTTCGAAAAGCGACTGTAGAAACTCATGAGCGTCTTCTTGGTGACTTATCTGGAAGTCAGCTGAGAAATCTGTAGTGGTTTAAGGATAAAATCAGTCATATGAACAGATCTGAAAAACAAAATACAACAGAAACCAAAAAATAAAAAAACTAGACTTGAGAAGCATACAATTGACGTTATCACGAAACTGATCAATCNGAGCAAGCTCAATATGATTTTGGAGAGTAAGCAGAACACAGAAACTCTCATTGCCACCTGAAAAAAAAAATCCAAATGAGCTATAAGATGAAAGACTATGACCACAATCAAGTTACCAACAGGGCTGGCTGAGAGGCGGGGGGACAAACGGTGCGATCGCCGCGGGCCCAAATCCGTGTCCCCCCGTATATTACTAATCAAGGGGTCCAATATTTTTTTATATATACATATCTTTTATATAAAAGTTTTAAAATTTTCATTAAATTTAAGTGAAAAGGGACCCAAAAATATTTTATGTGTATATAATATATTTTTATCCCAAATTTTATAAAGATTAAGGATAAAAAATATTCACTAATTTAGGTGAAAAGGGGCCCAAAAATATTATATGTGTATATAATATATTTTCATCCAAAATTTTATAAAGATCAAGGATAAAAGCTTAAAATATATTTAAATTTTAATAAAAATAAAAATTAAAAATTTAATATTTTATTTTGCCCCAGGGTCCGAAAAATATTGAGCCGACCCTGGTTACCAACTAAAATCAGACCATATAACACAATCAACTGAATATCAGACCATAAACACACAATCAAGACATCAACAAATAAAATCAGATCAAAAATAAATCAAGACACCAACCAAAATGCGATCATAACACCAATCAAGACACAAGTAAAATCAGATCGTTAAAAAATAGTCAAGACAAAAACCTAGGATCAGATCAAAAACACACAATATCAAGACACAGACTCAAATAAGAGCATAGAAGAATGGACTTACAGTTGCAAGGGGATAGATATTGGTAAGAGCAAAGGGTGTCGAGAAGAGGAACAGTATGAGTAAGGCACTGTAACACGGAAGCTATGAAACAAGTGTTGCCTGAGTTAATTAAACCAGCACCCTGAATAAGAAAAACAAAAAGATTTCAATTATTTTAAATATAAATTGTTTGAAAACAATACCAAAAAAAAAGAAAAAAAAAAAGAGGATTCGTTTTATTTTTAATATTAATAATAAAGAGAACAGAACATACAACGTCTGTTGGTTCATTCTTACGAGCCAAGCATGGGAATATATGAGTAGTTTTTGTGATCTCTATCTTGACATCATCGTCGCTACTTATGTCATTAATCTGAGCCGTTGGCATGATCTGATAATCTCTGTCATCCGACGCGGAAGATGAATTTTCCTCTGGATTTTGGATCTGAGTTAATGATCCCGACGAAGGAGTAGACATATCTGAGTTTATGATTATAGGTGAAGATTCCTTCGAAGGAGTAGACATATTTGAGCTTATGATTATAGGTGAAAGCTACGAAGAAGTTTGGTGAGGTAAAGGTTTTATATTGGGAGGGAAATAAATTCATGCAGCCATGTTTGCTTTTTATGGTTTGTTTTCACCTCTTCCCTGAAGCTTTTACCGTAAATAAACTCTTTAATTAATTCGTTTACTTAAGACCATGCTAAGTAATTGCCAAGTATGTATTTGGACTCTTTTGACTCTAATTAATTCGTTTACTTAACCATGCTAATTACTTACACAATTCAGATTTCTAATTTAATTTATAACCTACAATTAATAAAAAAAAAAATCTTGTATACAGATGAACAAGGAAAGAAGATATTTTTTTACTTATTTTATTAAAATTGTAACCATGCTAATTGCTAGATATGTATTGGACTTTTGACTCTTGAGACTCTTTGACAAATTTCTTTCTTTTTTGGGTAAATTTTTTTTACAAAGTCAGATTTCTAATTTAATTTCTAACCTATAAGTTTATTAAAAGTCCTCTACACAAATTAACAAGGAAAAAGAAGATGATTGTTTACCTATTGTATTAGATTTGTAACCATGCTAATTGCCAAGTATGTATTGGACTTTTGACTCTGAGACTCTTTGACCAATTTTCTCTTTTTTTTTTGGTGAAAATTGTTGACAAAAATCAGATTTCTAATTGAATTTATAACCTATAATTAATAAAAATCCTTTGCACAGATAACTGTCTACCTAGTTTATTAATTTGTTGATTTATACACTGTTTTGTGTCTTAATGTACCGTTATGATGTCTATCTAGCGTTATATAAGGAAAACAACTGTAAATACAATTAATGTTATCCCCTAATAACATTTATATATCTAACGTTTATATAAACAAAGGAAAAATCGCATAAAAAACCTCTAAGGTGACAGCCACTTACACTTTAGAACCTTAAAGTATTTCAGAAGCACTTTAAACAATCAAAGTGACAAATTTAACATATTAAACTTTCAATCTAGCTTACTTGTACATCAAGGCAAAAATGTAACCGGTACTGTTCAAAATGATGACGTGTCGGTTTGTTTTTTTTTAAAACAAAAATATTTTACTAATAAATAAATATAAAAATTACAAAAAAATATAAAAATTCAAAAACAATTCTTAAAAAAACATAAAAATTACAAAAAATCAGAAATGTAACTAAATTATTGTTTAATAAAATAAATATAAAATACAGAAAATATTTTTATTAAAAAAAAGTTAAAATAAATTATAAAAAGTCCAAAAATAAGAAAATTCACAAAAAATTTAATTAAAATCAAAAATTTTAAAATAAACAAAATAAATTATATAAATATAATAATAGTATATAAAATAAATATAAAATAATATATATATTTCAGATGTAACAACAGTTTTAATATATATATATTTCACCATATATGATATATGTATTTTTTAAACAATATATAAAAGAAATTAGAAAAATCTAAACCAAGATTAGGAGTAATGGTAGGATAGTTAATCTACACTCAATTTTCTCAGATGACACAATTTAGAGTATCTTAAACAGACTTTTATCACTTTATTTTTTAAATGATGAATATTACACCCTCAAATTTAAAATGATACTATTAAGTCACAACATTATTCACTTTATATTATAATCCTTACAATTATATGTCTCACAAAATAACTTTTTATATACCATATTTTAATATTTATCATTATACTTACATTAAAATATTTTGATTAAAAAATATTATTAACAATTTTTATACTGTTGATAGTTATATTTGAAAATATATTATTATATTTTATCAAAAATATATTTTCAATATCTTACAAATAATGTGTTTTATTGGGTTTCAAAAATTCAATGATTATATTTAGTTATCAATAATACTGAGGACTGGTGTAATATATAAAAAGTTTGAAGAAAATATATAAGTATTACCAATAAAGAACAAAATCCTTTATATTTTATTTTAAATATGTTACCTTGCAAAAATCCCAATCACTATAAATACCTCACTGAGCCTTTCCATTTTAATATCACTACTACTATACTACCAAAACAAATGGTTTCTATCAAAGCTCTCTCAACTATCTTTTTTCTCTTACTCGGCATTGGCATTTGCTACGCCACTAGCCGGAATCTCTTAACATACGGCGAAATCCCGGCTGGACATGGTGGTGGCGGTGGTGGAGGCCACGGTGGTGGTGAAGGTTATGGAGTGATTGGTGGTGGTTGATATGGAGGAGTTGAAGGGTATGCCACTGGTGGTGGTGGTCACGGTGGTGGAGCTGCTTATGGTGGTGGAGATCATGCTAGCGGTTATGGAAGTGGTGGGGGTGAAGGAGCTGGTGGTGTAATTGGTGGACATGCTGGTGGGGGAGGTGGTGGAAGTGGAGGCGGTGGAGGATCAGCATACAGTGGTGGAGGTGAGCATGCTAGTGGTTATGGAAGTGGAGCTGGTGAAGGTGGTGGCGCAGGTGGAGGTGGAGGCGGTCATGGAGGCGGAGGAGGATCAGCAGGTGGAGGGGCTTATGGTGGTAGTGCTTATGGAGGCGGTGAAGGAGGAGGAGCTGGAGGTGGGTCAGGAGCTGGAGGTTATAGAGGCGGTGGCGGTGGAGGAAGTGGGGGAGGAGGAGCTTACGGTGGAGGTGGAGCTCATGGAGGCGGTTATATATGGAAGTGGTGGTGGTGAAGGAGGTGGTTATGGTGGTGCAGCAGGGGGATATGGCAGTGGTGGTGGAGGTGGTTCAGGTGGAGGTGGAGGCGGCAGCCAATATGGTGGCGGTTACGGTAGTGGTGGTGCTCCATGAAGAAACCAACTCCAAAATATACCCAAAAAAAGAGGCTGGAAATATTAAGATGATTTGTGGAGACAGAGGGGTATACAAATTATAGAAATTAACAATGGCTTTGGTTGAAAACATTTTGTATCCATTATTGAAAGTTGTATTTCCTAATCACTGAATATTTGTTGTCTTGCAATTTATATCATTAAAAAGCTTTAATAAAATGAATAGAGTAATTTATATAAGAACTTTTGTTAGAGCTTTACAAAATTTAATCTGTAATATCTTAAACGTCATGAAAAACAAAGAAAGCTATCCCACGCTTTCATCTGATGATCTGATTGCCGTTGAGAGAGCTTTCGGTGAAGTTTGGATCTTCTGATGTTAGAGACTTTCTTCCTCTTCACCTTAAGACACAACGCTGCAGTAAGCAGTCGAGATCCAGATGAAGAACAAGGCCTACTCCTGAGGTACGAAACAGCATGTTTTTTCTCCTTAATTATGATCAGCACCAACAAAGCTTCTAGACGGCTTTGCTCCACGACTTTCTGCTTTCTTTTTCTTATTTTGCAAATGCGCACGTCCAGTCTGATACGTTCCTGTTACATTAATCGCACACACTCAAGACTCGGAATCTTTCAATGTTTCTCCCATCTTTTTACTTGCTATCTCTTTCCACATGTTCACTATATTATTATTATACTGAGACTAGAGTAGTATAATACCTTGGGGGTAACAAATTTGGTTCTTTAATCTAAAGATTAGGCAGATAATCTTCTTCACCAATGATAGCTCTCTTCGCAGCTGTATATATAATCACACAAATACACATAAGAGCCAAGTCTCCAAACTGAGAATCTGATAAACCCTCTCATGTTAGTCTCTTGTCTAGTCTAGGTTCTATTTCAGTTCTCATCTTTGATAAAAGGAGAATATTTATGAATACAAGATAGTTACCTTTACGTTTTGGAGACGAGACTTGCTCTTGAATCACATAAGGGGCATCGATGGTAGCTATGTTGCCATCTGGATACAAAGGACGTGATTAAGAACTGAAACTCTTTATTGATAATCTCAAACTATTGTAGCTTACAATCCTCTCACGACCATAATCGCAAGACTACAAAGTTCCCTCTCTCTCTCTCACTTTCAGATACAATTCGATAATCCAAATACAAAGTACTACTTCTTTATTTATACTCCTCTCAATACTTGTAAGTTGTAACTGCAAAGCCTCTCTCTCATTACAAGTCAAGCTTATCCGTAACAAGAAAAGGGGAGAGGATTAGAAGAAAGGATAAGAAGATAAGATAACTTTAATGATCATTTATGATAATTCCCAAATTAATGATTACAACTCCTCTCTTAAGTACTGAAATGTAAATGTAAAACGACAATGTACACACTCCTCATTTATTAACTTGACTCTTAACCCTCTAGCTTAGAGGGAGTCTTTCTTTCACTTCAGCCATTCTTTTACCCTCTCTTCGATCTCTGCTTCTTTTGTACCCACGCCAACTTATCAGAGTCATCACCCGGGCTCGATACTCCCACGGAGCCATTACAGGCGTTGTTGGAATCAGAGACATTCTGGTAACTATGGTCGGTCTCAAGAACAGAGGCTGGCGAAAAAGTCATCGGATTCGCTTCAAATAGTGTCTTCAGCTCTTCAAAGGCACTAACAAAACAGGGAGTTCCTTCTCTTGCATAGAATAACATATACGCATTCTTTGATAGAACACATTCTTCGCTGATTCTACAGACCTGCCAAAAGGAAAAGTTGCATGTCATCAACACTCCCCTCACAGATATCTCCAAAGAACTAAAACCAAACAAGATCAAAAGGAAGTCATCTTGTATTATTTACCTTTGCGTCATCAAAATGATGCCATGTCTCAGGAGCTGATCTCACATATGTTGTGTAATGACCAGAATGTGGACTAAACCCTAGATGCTCCACCATGGCATAGAGATGGTACTTTGTTGAAGCCTAAATAAACAAAACAACAACGTAATTGTATTTTGTTAAATTAATTATGACATGAAAAAAGATGTGTAAAATTTTCACTTACTTCATGCTTTTCGTTACTGCTCATGTAAGGGAACAAATCCAACTCCAAAGGGAACTTAACATCTTTGACGATCTTCTCTATATAAAATCCATTGTTCTTAAACCTCTTCAAATGGAACGAAGCAACAAGAGGCAACTTATCGAACTTAAGTTGCTTCTCCTTTGAGACTTTCTCTTTACAGTCATCACACGTTAACTGGTCCTCGAGTTTTTCCACACATGTAAAAGACTCTAGAGCACTCCAAAGATCTTTCACATCTTCAATCTCCAGACTCCATCCAGTAGACGTTTCAAAGGTTTCTGAAATGGAATTGCAGTTGCAACAACGAAGCTGAAAAGAAAAAAAATAATAATAATATAAGAGTCATGTATATAGTAGATAATTAAGTATGGTAATGAATCAAAAAAATCGTTACCTTACTAACAAGACCCCCACCAAAGATATTCTGAACAATGTTAACATTATGAGAGGCAGAGTTATTTCTACCACTTAGATCCAAACAACATTTCTGTAGCTTTTCGAAAAGCGACTGTAGAAACTCATGAGCGTCTTCTTGGTGGTTTATCTGGAAGTCAGCTGAGAAATCTGTAGTGGTTTAAGGATAAAATCAGTCATATGAACAGATCTGAAAAACAAAATCAGAACAGAAACCAAAAAAAAAAAAAAAAACTAGACTTGAGAAGCATACAATTGACGTTATCACGAAACTGATCAATCTGTATATCATATCCTGAAAGCCTCAGAGCAAGCTCAATATGATTTTGGAGAGTAAGCAGAACACAGAAACTCTCATTGCCACCTGAAAAAAAAAATCCAAATGAGCTATAAGATGAAAGACTATGACCACAATCAAGTTACCAACTAAATTCAGACCATATAACACAATCAACTGAATATCAGACCATAAACAAGCAAACCAGACACCAAATAAAATCAGACCATCAACAAATAAAATCAGATCAAAAATAAATCAAGACACCAACCAAAATGCGATCATAACACCAATCAAGACACAAGTAAAATCAGATCATTAAAAAATAATCAAGACAAAAACCTAGGATCAGATCAAAAACACTAGGGCTGGGCATTTTATCTGTTATATTTGATTCGATTCGTTATTCGTTTCGATTCGATCCAAAAATTCCGGATATCCGTAAACTTTCGAATCAAAGCAAATACTAAAATTCAATATCCGTCAAAATCGAAGCAAATCACAAATATTAAAATTTTGGGAAGCAGATATCCGATCCGATCCGGAAATATATAAATTTATGTATATCTTGATTATATTTAAAATATTAAATGTATAAAATTATATAATTATTATTCTAGCACATGATTTAAACAATTCTATTCACATTATTACTTATATAAAAGTATTACATAAAAGAAAGAAAAAAAAATGACAATTATATTTTCTTTTTCTTAAATTTTGTGTTATTATAATTGTAACTTAAACTTAAAAAAATTACAAAATATGTAAATTCACTAGTTTTTAATTTTTATTTTTTATATGATGCAAACAAATATTTTTGCAAAACAAATTTGTATCAAAATCTTAAGATTATTTGTATTAATCAAAATGGATGAGATATCCGTAAATATTCGTAAATATTGGCAAATATCTATTTATTTTCCGGATATCCGTTTTTCCGGATATCCGTATTTTTTCGAAGCAAAGCAAATACCAAAACTAGATATCCGTAACATTCGAAGCAAATCACAAATACCTTGAAAAACCCGGATATCCGATCCGTGCCCACCCCTAAAAAACACACAGTATCACAGACTCAAATAAGAGCATAGAAGAATGGACTTACAGTTGCAAGGGAATTGATATTGGTAAGAGGAAAGGGTGTCGAGAAGAGGAACAGTATGAGTAAGGCACTGTAACACGGAAGCTATGAAACAAGTGTTGCCTGAGTTAATTAAACCAGCACCCTGAATAAGAAAAACAAAAAGATTTCAATTATTGTAAATATAAATTGTTTGAAAACAATACCAAAAAAAAAAAGAAAAAGAAAAAGAGGAGTCGTTTTATTTTTAATATTAATAATAAAGAGAACAGAACATACAACGTCTGTTGGTTCATTCTTACGAGCCATGCATGGGAATCTATGAATAGTTTTTGTGATCTCAATCTTGACATCATCGTCGCTACTTATGTCATTAATCTGAGCCGTTGGCATGATCTGATAATCTCTATCATCCGACGTGGAAGATGAATTTCCCACTGGATTTTGGCTCTGAGTTAATGATCCCGACGAAGGAGTAGACATATCTGAGTTTATGATTATAGTTGAAGATTCCGACGAAGTAGTAGACAGATCTGAGTTTATGATTATAGTTGAAGATTCCGACGAAGTAGTAGACAGATCTGAGTTTATGATTATAGTTGAAGATTCCGACGAAGTAGTAGACATATCTGAAGTAGTAGACATATCTGAGTCTATGATTATAGGTGAAGATTCCGACATTAGCAAATCGAAATGTCTGAAGAAGAAGAAGAAGGCAGGGTTTAGTTTTGGGAGGAGAAAGCTACGAAGAAGTTTGGTGAGGTAAAGGAAACAGAGAAGCAGAGAGTCTATAAGTAAGGGTTTTGAATTGGGAGGGAAATAAATTCATGCAGCCATGTTTGCTTTTTATGGTTTGTTTTCACCTCTTCCCTGAAGCTTTTACCGTAAATAAATTCTTTATTTAATTCGTTTACTTGACCATGCCAATTACTTACAAAATTCAGATTTCTAATTTAATTTATAGCCTACAATTAATAAAAATAATCATTTATACAGATGAACAAGGAAAAAGAAGATGACTGTTTACCTATTGTATTAAATTTGTAACCATGCTAATTGCCAAGTATGTATTGGACTTTTGACTCTGAGACTCTTTGACCAATTTTCTCTTTTTTTGGTAAAAATTGTTTACAGAAATTAGATTTTTCTAATTTAATTTGTAACCTATAATTAATAAACAAGGAAAGAAGATAATTGTTTACCTATTTTATTAGTGTGTAACCATACTAATTGCCAAGTATGTTTGGACTTTTGACTCTCAGACTCTTTGACCAATTTTCTCTTCTTCTTTTTTTGTAAAAATTGTTTAAAACAACCAGATTTCTAATCTAATTTATAACCTATAATTATTAAAAATCCTCTACGCGGATGAAGAAGGAAAGAAGATAATGGTGTTTACCTATAGTATTAATTTGTAACCATGCTAATTGCCAAGTATGCATTGGACTTTTGACTCTGAAACTCTTTGACCAGTTTCCTTTATTTTTTGGTAAAAAATGTTGACAAAAATCAGATTTCTAATTGAATTTATAACTTATAATTAATAAAAATCTTTTGCACAGATAACTGTCTACCTAATTTATTAATTAGTTGATATATATACTGTTTTGTGTCTTAATGTACCGTTCTGATGTCTATCTAGCGTTATATAAACAAAACAACTGTAAATACAATTAGCGTTTATATAAACCAAAATTATTGACAAAAAAAATATAAACCAAAATTTCTAAATATAATTAATGTTTTCAACTAATAACATTTATACTAGATCTTGACCCGCACAACCGTGCGGTGATTATTTTCATTTTATAAAAATATTAGATCATTTATATTCTTTTTAAAAATGCGAAAGTAATTCCACAATCCCTTTTAAAATTATTGATTTAATAAAAAATGAAATATATATTTATATTTGTAAATAAGAAGATATGAAAAGTTTTTGTTTAGTTGTAATTTATAGAAAATATAGGAATATCTATTTGATTTTTAGAATAATTATAAATATATCAAATATGTACATTATACAAAAAAAATCATTTAAATAAATTTCTAAGGAATGATATATTTTTAAAAAAAATCACACATGAATTGAAGTTATGACTTCTGTTTTAATATATAAGATTTCTAAGGAATGATCTATTTTTAAAAAAATCACACATGAATTGAAGTTGTGACTTATGTTTTAATATATAAGACTAGATTCTAACCCGCCATCTAAAAAGGCGGATATATATTTTTTTTTTTTTTTTGGTAAATTTAATTTTTATATTTGAATGTTTTGTAATCATATTTGTGTTTAATCATCTATCAATAATATAAAAGATTTAGTGTTATTAACATAAAGAAGTAATACATAAATAATAAATAATTAGACCAAACATTTACTAATTGGTCATGATTTTGTTTTATTAGAATAGATATTTTAAAATTTGAAAATATATTTGAATTTGAGTTCAAAGTTTTTTTATTTTTATTTTAGAATATGGGAGAAGAGAGCTTTTGGAAACTGTAAAAAGAAATTTTTGAAAAGATATATATTTTTTAATTTATTCAAATAAATATATTTATGTAAATGAGTTAATATATTATTCACTAACTTTAAATAAAATCACATTTGATAAATATGTTTTACAGAAACCCATTTAAAATATGTTAAAATAAATGAGTTTAAATGAATTTCTATTTCTATTAAAAGTTCACTTAAAACCAGTTAAAACCTATTTTAAAGGTCATTTTATTTGTAAATTGATAAGCTTAAAGTTTGTGTAAACATTCAGAATTTTAATAAATTAATGTCTCATAATTTCTTGGGCTGATATCTGTTGTAGTGTGAAAATGATTTTTTAAAATATATCATAGTTAATTTTAATCTAAAATTATATAGGTTAACAACTCACATTAAATATAAATCCAAAAATGATATTTGTTATTATATATATAACTGTCAGTATTATATAATTCACGTTTGATATACACTCAAAAAGTAGGAATATTTGTTAATATATATATATATATATATATATATATAACTGTTGGTAATATATTTTTTTCAAAAAAAAAATCTATACTATTATTTAAGAAGTAAATTTGCTGAGGTGTCATGTTCTCCATAAGTTTAGGTAATTTTATTTCTTTATCATATTTTAAAAATTTATATATATTTTATTTATAAATAAAACGAATTTATATGAATATATCATATTTTTAGAAAATAAGATAATTCTTGTGAATTAGGTTATTATCTTGAAATATATTTTTATACATAAAACTTAAATTTTAAATTAAGATATAAACACTATTATATTTATCTATAAATGAATTTGTATTAATAATTTAATATTTAAATATAATTAAAACGAATTTATATTAATGTTGTTATCTTGAAATATATTTTTATATATTAAACTTAAATTTTAAATTAAGATATAAACACTATTATATTTATCTAAAACAAATTTATATTAATAATTTGATATTTAAATATAATTAAAACGAATTTATATTAATAATTTAATATTTTTCAAAAATAAGATAGTCCTTATGGATTATGTTGTTATGTTGAAAATATATTTTCCTATTATAAAACTTAAAATTAAGATATAAAAATATATTATTAATAATTAAATATAAATCATAATTAAATATAAATCATCAAAAAAAATTTTGAAAATTCAATTTGTTGATTTGTCTCCATGATCCTAGGTAATTTTGATCATTTATAAGAATTTCTATAATTTTTTTATTATTGATTATATAATTAAAACTAATTTATATTAATAATATGATATTTTAGAAAATAAGTTAATTCTTATGTATTATGCTGTTATCTTGAAAAAATATTTTTCTATTATAAATTTTAAATTAACATGTAAAAAATCTATAATATTATTTAAGAAGTGAATTTGATGTTTGCTGATTTGTCATATTTTTCATTATTTTAGGTAATTTTGATAATTTATCAATTTATATAATTTATTATATATTTAAAAAATTATATTAATAGTATCAGATTCTTAGAAAATAAAATACTTCTTATGTATTAAGTTGCTGTCTTAAAAATATATTTTTCTATTAGAAATTTAAAATTAAGATATAAAAAGTTGTAGTTATTCTATAATTGAAATAAATTTACACTAATAATATTATACTCTTAGAGAATATGGTAGTTCTTATATATTATGTTGTTATCCTGAAAATATATTTTATATTATACAATTTAAAAGTAAAATAGAAAAATTATCTATTATTAATTAAATATAGATTATCACTCAAGAAAAACTATTTAAGAAGTAAATTTGCTGATTCATTAAGTTATCAATGATTTTAGGTAATTTTAATTGTATGCCATAATTTCTATAATCTTATTTAATTATTATATAGTTAAAAAAATTATCATATTATATTTTCATAAGATAAATAACTTATGCATTATATTGTTATCTTGAAAATATATTTTTCTAATATAAAAATGTAAAATTAAGATATAAATATTATAATTAAATATAAATCAAGAAAATAGTTATAGAAATATATTCTTTTAAATATTCTGATGTTTGAGTTTTGTTATTGAAAATTATTTGATGTTATTTTTACTTTTTTTGAAAACATAAATAATAACTTACTATGCTGATTTTAGATAAATAATAACTTACTATGCTGATTTTAGAATGGTCGTCCAGATATAACGTTGTAGTCACCTCAACTTGAATGTAATTATATTGTTCTACTATACTTTTTTTTTGTAACACGTTCTACTACACCTTCTAAACCGAAAGGTTTGTTAGGTTTTGATGTTTTTAATCACTTAACAACATTAATTGAGTTATGAGGTAAAGTGTTGTGTGTTATTATATCGCTACAAAACAAACAGAAATAATATAAGTCTTTTTATAAACCTTTCAAATACCACAATGTGTTCTCAGTGTCAATCAAAAGACAAATATTTTTTTGTATGTTTTCTTAGAGCATTCTATCCTGAAGATCACTGAATATACCAGATGCCAATGACCCCAGCTTCTTCGTAGTTTCTTCCGCTATGTTAACAAGAGATGACACATCTTGCTGCGCCTGCCCGTGGAACCGAGTTTAATCAGAACAAAGGCTAAAGAAAAAAAAGCTTAAGAAATTGATTTCTTATCAAGAAAATTATCTTACCTGGAAAGAAATTCGGTTGATGAGATCGCTTGCAGTGATATCTATGTTGGAATCATCTTGTCCGTGGCCAAAAAGATCAGCACTTGAAATAGCTGATGAGGCCTGTTAGTTTTTGCAATCACAATTAAGTTAATATGAACAATGAGACTTGAATACAGTTTGATTGGTTGTGTAGATACCGAGAACTTCTGAAGTGTAGCTTTTGAGTCAAGATCAGCATCTCTGTTCTGATTCCCGTAGAACTGTGCAGATGAAATCGATTTCGCATTTGAAAACTTCTTTCTTGCTTCATCAGTTTCTTCAACCTAGGCAAGTAAGAAAGTAATTAGTAAAACTGTGAAATCTATCTCTTCCTTGGCTACTTCTGTTTAGGAAAAAAAAAACAGAGCATTTCTTTACTTGAACTTTGGACGAGCTTGGTTTCTTGGAGAAAGCAGTGTCCATTCCATACTCATTAAAGAAATTCGTCGACTTTGGTGGAGCGACATGGCTAAGCACCCGTGTCCCACTCTGCCCACCAGACTGCT